GTTTGAAATTGGCACTATATTAGTGCTATTTATATAGCACTATTCATGCTTGAATTATATCTATGTTTTTAGACAAAGCATTATTGCATCCGCAATTTCAATTTAATTGATATAATTATTAGATCCACGGGGGAAGTTCTGCCGCTTTCATTCATATAATGTTTGATCTATACGCAATAAACGGGAACACTGCACTCGTAACGAGATTTTCCTTCGATTAGTATATGGAATTTCGGTTATGAGGTTGTCATGACTTAAAAAAGAGATCATTTAAATTTTTTTTAAATACTTAAACTAGCAGAAAAAATAACACATATAATAAAGAAAAATAGAAAAAGCTGTAAAACAATACAAAACATTTGTTGACATTAAAAATTTCAACAAGTATATCGCAAATTGTTTAATGTTAACAATAAAAATTGTTATTATTGTCATTGTTGAAAAGTATTATATCTTTTTTTTTTTTTTTTTTTTTTAATATTAAAAGAAAATTATGTCGATGATTAAATACCAGAAAACTTGTAAAAAGATTGAGTATAATTAAGTAATTCTTTTCAGGTAACTACAGCAATTACAGAAAGTCTTGATAAAATAGATCTTCAACAGATTATACAAAAACTAAAGCCCTTGACCGATATTCCTTGCCATTTGATACAAAATAATGTGCCAGACGACCAAGAGATAAAGTATGTAATATATTGTGTTTTGTTTATTTATTTATTATATTTATTTATTTTTATTCATTATTTATTTTCTTAACGTGTAGCACAATAATTTGAATTAAATTTTAATTATATAATTTTCGTAATTTTCGTATACAAGTTAAAATGAAGTACTTAAAAATCAAATATAATATAATATGATCCACTTATAATCACTTATAAATCTTTTTTTATTTATTTACGTATAAATAATAAACAGTGAAGGATTAAAAACAAAAAAAGAATTTTAAAAAAAAAAATTTTTTAAAAATGCACATGTTTCTTTTTTTTTCTATTTTTTATTTTTCTATTTTTTATTATTTTTTTATTTTTTATTATTTTATATATTTTATATATTAAATAATAATTTATATCGGTCATCTCAATATATTTCCATTTCCATCTAAATACTAATCATTTTTTTAAAAAACGATCGATAAATATAAAGAAAAAAGAGCGAAATAAATAATAATATTTATCAACGAGTTTTATCTTCATTTCAATCGATCAACGCAATATTTATCTCGATTTATCTCGAATCTTGTCGCATTTTCCATTTCTTCTGTGCCGAGATTTTTTTTCGACACAATGGAAAAACTTCGTACAGAGTTTTTGATAAATCAAAATCTCCTGTGCATATTGAACAATTTATTTTCCTCGACACCGACGATGGTACAGAGGCGGACAAATCCTCTCGTTTATATTCGTAAGCAGCTTACAAATGTCCAAACGGAAAGAGAATGAAAGACAGAGAAAGAGAAAGGAATAGAAATAGAGAAAGCACACGAAGTGTAAAAGTAATTAATTAATTAAAGAATGTATCTATAGTTGTGTTTTAAAACAGCTTCGAAATATTCCTCCCTTCCATTTTTTTTTCTTTTTCTTTTTTTTTCAATCATCAAAATATTACATTTTTATTTTCTTCTCAATTTTCTTCTCAGATTTCAAATAAAGCGAATCTGTACTCTCTGATTCTTCTCTCGATGCTTGCTATTCCATAATTCAAGTGAAATACGATTTCTCTTTTAATACGTGTTCAATTAGATTCTTATGTTTTAATTTGCAAATAATTTTCTTTATGAAATTTCACGAGTATTAACATTGTGAACATTAATTTAATGTAAAAATTCATGATAATATTTCTTGCAATATTTATTCCCTTTGAATGTAATCATCTTCGAATGTAATCGTCTGAATATTACATTTTAATATATATATAAATTAGGTTCATTTAATAAAAAGGATATAATTTGATATAAATGATTTTTTCTTAGATGGAAAAAATTGTTTGAAAGAATTTAATGGAAGGAATTTTGATTAAAAGATAAATCTTTTAAAGATTCAAATGGGATCTTATAAATATTTTTAAGCAAAATTTAACGTTATTTTTTATTGATATTTAGATATAGAATTTCTTGAAGACGAAGAAATGATTTTTTTCACAGACTTCACATCGATGATAACATTTTTGAGGCTATAAAGAAACACTGCAGCGTACAAATACCGGAAACGACAATCTTCAGCTTGGAACGAAAAAATTCGCTACCAGAAGATTATGTAATAGAACCCTTGATTGAAGAGACTAGCATTTCGAGTAATGTTATTTTTCTCGATATCAATTTTCAATGTTACAAATAAACGTATGATCATAAGACAAATAATTTTAATTCATGGTAATAAAGATGTTCATTTTTCACAGAAAATAAGGATAAATCCATGAAGAATAAGACTAAAGCAACCCATCCTCCTAAAAAAAAAGATAATGTTCTTACTGTCGGTGCGTATTATTCTTTCTAGATAATAAATATTAACTTTAAGATCCTTTATAAAAAGAAAAAAAAAAAAAGAAATTGCAATTGATTTTCATTAGAAATAATTTGTCGAGT